TAAAGAAAAGAAGCAAAGACAGATACCTGACCACTCCCCTTCGCTAGAAGAGAGGTGCCCCCTTCACTACAGCCACACCTCCTTCCTTATTGCTCCTCATTCTGTGGAATGTTATTCCTTGTCAAGCCCGCCTAGGGACCCACCTTTGAAGGCATCATCGAGGTCCTCCTTCCCAAAGACGACCCCCAGATCATGGATGGTGCAGGTGTGGAACTGCACGCGGAAGATGACGTCTCGAGCAGGGCTGCGGAACTTCTTATGGTAGCACTTCAGCTGGGGGGAAGAGAGCGAGCCCATCAGGGGCTTGCAGTGGGGAATCCGGTCCCAAAGAGCTGCCTTAGCATCTCCACTGATGGGTATCCAAGGGTCACACCAAGCTCAGTGAGGGAGAGACCAGTGGCACCAAACAGGATCTTAGTGCTCTCTGGGGTCATGTCTACAATAGCAGGGTACTGAAGGCCAGCCTTGTGCTGTGGGGACAAAACTGTCCTCCCCAAAAGTTACTGTGTGTGGGTCAGAATGGAAAAAGTAGGAGCGGATGTAAAGGACAGGGAGGAGGGACTGAAGTCAGAACTGAGAGAGTCCATGCCACCATCAGGAAGCCAGGAGGTTTTAGCTCACACTGAGCGTTATTTCCCTGGAAATGTTCCATAAAAAGGCCCACGTCCAGGGGAAGGGATGTCCAGTACCAAGGCAGGGACATGGGCAAGGACTGTCAGAGTCTAGAAGGCCCTCAGGAGCCCTGAGGGTTTCAAGTCCAAGGTCGGCAGCCCATCAGAAGTTACTGCCTTGTCCTAAGAGGCAAAAGGGGGTAAGAAGGGAGAAAAAAAGAAATGGAGAATGGGTCTGGAGTCACAGGAGAGCACTCACCAGGATGTCGCCCTTCAGAAGCAGCCCAGGCTCAATGGTGATGCAGATGCTGGTCTGGCTATCTCCTTGGACATTGCTAGGAGAGAGAAGTGGGCGAAGGAGAGTGGCTGCTGAGCTGGCAGGCAGCACACTTTCTCCTGCTGCCTCTCTGCACCAAGAAAGCTCACTGACCTCTCCCACAGCCCCCTCCTGGAAGCTTCTAGGCAGCAACCCAACTCCCAGCCACGGCCCAGGCCCTGGACCTCGGGCATCCCTGGTTTCTTATCGCCATGGAATACCTACTAGATGCCAGATGTGTAAACAGGCTGCATGGCCTGATAAATCCGGAGAAATGGCCGACACCCTGGAAGAGAGGATCGGTGTTAGCAGAGATGGCAGGAGTGGGAGGAGGTGGAGGGGGAGTAAAGAAGGGAAAGGAGAAAGGAAGGAAAGACTGGCGGAGTAGTAGGAAGCGGGAGGTGCAAAAGAGGGAAGAAGTAGAAAAAGGAAGGCAAAAATAGAGAGAGGGGATGCACTACTGACGTCTCATTTGAAAAGCCTATTTAAGTTTACAAAGACATTGCCAAATGATATGAAAAAATGTTCAACATCACTCGTAATAAGGGAGATGCAAATTTAAACCACAATGAGATACCACCTCACCCCACTGAGAATGGCACATCTTCAAACAACTAGCAACAACGAATTTTGGCGAGGATGTGGAGAAAAAGGAACTCTCCTGCACTGCTGGTGGGAATGCAAACTAGTACAACCACTATGGAAAACTGTCTGGAGGTTCCTCAAACTGCTAAACATGGAGCTTCCCTATGACCCAGCAATCCCACTCCTAGGTATCTACTCAAAAGACACAAAAACACTGATTGAAAAAGATACCTGCATCCCCATGTTTACTGCTGCTTTATTTACAATTGGAAAGACATGGAAACAGCCCAAATGCCCAAAAGTGGATAACTGGATTAAAAAGATGTGGTACATATGCTCAATGGAATATTACAAAGCAATCAAAAAAAAAAAGAAACACATGCCTTCTGCAGCAACATGGATGGAGCTGGAAAAGATCATACTTAGTGAAATAAGCCAGAAAGAAAAGGAAAAATACCAGATGGGTTCACTCATAGCAGGAGTATAACGGACCAGGAGAGAAGATAATAATAATAACAATGAAAAGCCATATGCCAGAAACATTTGGGGGGGTAGAGTGGGGAATGGGATCAAAAACAGAGGGGGAAAGGAAATACACTGGACTATGGTGATGGCACATGGGTGATTTTGTGATGGGAAGCCCACGGGGATTACAACTGAGATGAAAAATGCACAAAGTGATGTAAAAACAAACTATTATATTACTAAAAAAATTTTTAAAAAGACACTGCCATGTGTGACATCATCTGCTAGCAAGCATTGCCAGGTTCAAAGTCACTTTGCAAATGAGTAGACAGGGACACAAAGAAATGGGTGGTGAGACACCCAGCCTCTGACTCTAGAGCCACACCCAGAGCCCACATTTCTACCCCCAAGGCTGCCTCTTAAGAGGAGAGGCAGGAGCCAACAGACTAGAGTGGAGGATGCTTTGGAGGTGGCGGGGGTGGGATAACATTCACGTGAAGAGCCGTGAACCTGTAGTAAGAAATAATGCAGGAGAGAAAAAGAAAGATGCAAAACAGAGAGGGATGGGGCCGCGGAGAAGCAGGGGCAGCTACCTCCTTTAGACTCGAAGTTGGGGATGCCGTGCATGATGACGTGGTGCAGGAACAAGGGCTTGTTGTTCATTTTGATGGAGCCAGAGAGCAGGCCACTGAAGTAATGTACATACCTGGAGGAGGGAGGGGGTGGCTTCAGTGAGGGAGGGCTATACCCCCAAAACGTCCTAGGTAGCCTGCCCAGGTCCCCTTTTTCCCCCCACCTCAGATCTCACAGTGGCTCGGGTCTGCACCCTAGGACAGTCTTGCTCCACAGTGCAGGTGGGAGGTGAGCAGGTAATGCTTAGTGCGCCAGGCCCTAGTCAATCAAACCTCCCACTCGGGAGTTACCAGCGCCCTCTGGTGGCCGACATGAACCTGGCTTTCCTGCTTCACTCCCAGCCCAGGAATCTCCAGCCACCAAAAAGTTCCTCCCACACACCGGTGACAGGCCCCCTAGCTGCTCACAACTGCAAGACGCAGGCTGATCAACCAGTAGCCTGCTCTGACACACTTACACCAAGCCCAAATCGAGCTTACACGTATACCCACAGGCCCACCAGCCACTGCCCAGCAGAGCTGAATTCTTGGATTTTTTTGGCATCACACTAAAGGCCACAAAGCCTCTCATTTCGCTGGACAGTGGAAGATAGATAACTTCCTCTGTGTGTTCCTCTCCCTAGGGTCAACACCCCCAGTTCTTTTAGCAAAGATCTTGTTGGAAAAATGCAAGGATTAACCCCGCTCCACTCCCTCGAGGAGAGGAAATTAGGTCCAGAAAAGCGCAGGGACACACACCAAAGACACCCAAAGTGGGAGTTGATGGGCAGAGAAGGAAAGCAGTCGGAACTCAAGATCATGTGCCCTCCACAGCACACTGGCCGGCATTTCCTCTTGTTCCGACTGCCCAGAGGACATCAAGCTGGGCCAGCTGGGCCAATCAGAACACGCCAAGACTGGACAGGAGCCAATGGGGCTCTGGGAGCGAGGAGGGACCGTGACCACGACCTCCTGTCTCCTGGCCCACCTCCACGCCCCCGGGGGTGGAGAGGGTCTGTCTCCCTGGGCGGGGTGGGTCCACCTCGGACAGCCCAGACGAGATAATCTGATGGGCAGCACCAGCTCCTATTCAGGCCCCTGCCCAGCCCCCAGCCCCATTACTCAAACCGGAAACCCGGAATGGCGGGTTCCTATCGGGTTTCTTGATCGTGCCAACAGGATGTGTCTGTGTGCTGGGGACAATGAGTCCAGGGGTGGGGTGACAGTGAATGGGGAGCCGTGAGCAAGGACCCTCCCACTCCCTCTCCCTGCCCTCCTCTCCTCCAAAGGCTCCATCCCGTTAAGCAACACTGAAAAGAGGCGGGAAAGTGGCAACGAAGGCCGAGTAAATGCCACTGTTGCACTTTCACATTTGGCCACCAACAGAATGACCCTCCCAGAAGCAGATGTGGCTGCAGATATGAGCTGCAAGGCAGACCCAGGTCACGTGCACAGGCCCATTCCGAGGCTGAGCACTGTGGTGTCTCGGCATACTCCTAGCCCTCCTCGCCAGGCTTTGAGCTTGGAGAAGCGACTGCTCTGCCCACTCTCGCCAAGCCAAAGCGTGCCATCGGCCATGACGCCACTTTATTCATAGACAGGAATGGAGGAGGAACTTGATAGTTCTTTCTCCCCTGAAAAGATGCTCACTGATCCACAGTTTCTGTGTCTGGTGGGCTCGCCAGCATTTTCTACACATAAAGGCACCCCACTTCTGATGGTGGACCCCAGAGACTGAGCACCAGGTGTGGTGTGTTTGCTGCTCTCTCTGCCTGGCAGCCCTTCCCCCCCTTTTTTTTTGGTTCCTCAGACCTCTCCTGCTCAGAAAGGGAGGCCCATTTGAATCAGCTCTCTCTTCCATCCTTTCATTCTCTAGTCCCTCATGTTACTTGTTTTTTTTTCCCCCTTCAAAGCTCTTCTCACCCTTGATTGGTCCTTGATGGCTTGGGTGACATTCACCAGAGAGTAACCTCCATGATACCTCACTAAGAGATTCAGCACCATGGCCTGGTGTAGATGGGCCTGACATACTAGACAGGTCACTTATAGCTCAAGTCACACGGGGCTGAGCTGATACCCTGATACCCTGGGCCTGGGCTTCCCCCAGCTGGCTCCCCACACCCACGTGGCCCTGACACTACCTGACACTCCCAAGGCTTTGAGGTCACTAAGCAGCATATTGCCACAGCGCAGAAGCCAGGGCTGCCCTCAGGACATGACCGGGGGTGTGGCCCTGGCTGAGGTTCAAAACCTCCATGTACATCGCAGCTCTGTCACCCTCCCCAAGGACTCTGGCCATGCCAAGTCCCCTCCCAAGGCTCAGCTCCTTATCTGTAAATTGGGGACACCCCGCACACGCGTCAGGGAGCTCAGCACTGTTCAGGCTCTGGCCGGAAGTTACCTCCTCTGAGAGGGAGTCCTGGGCCGCCCTCGTTAAAACGGCCCGATCCTCCCACCACTCCTGGCGCCCCAGCTTCCTCTCCTCTCAGCCCTGACGGCTATCAGATCGTCTCCTCTGCACATGCCCTCGCGGAATGGACATCTTTCCCAACAGAGTATGCTCACTAAGAGCGAAGGATTCCATCCTGTTCGACTAGGTGTCTCCAGGACTTGGAATGAAGCAGAATGCCTAAAACCTGCCAAGTGAATGAATGAATGACTTCACCCCCTGCCCTGCCTCCTGCCTGGGCAACGGTGGCTGCCAAGGACAGTCTGTGGCTGGGACGTCAGTGAGGAGTTTAAAGCATCCCCAGCAGAAGGTGAGCACCTGTGGGCTCCTGGGGAGGCAGCGGTGACTTCAGCCGCCTATAGACTCACCCAGGAGCTGACACAATCCCACTTCCTGACCAAGAACCACTCTGGGTGCCACCCTCTCGCACGCTCAGCCTCACCCGCCAGCCTCTCCAGCACAAACCTCAGAAGCCAACTGCCAGGCCCATCTGAGGGTGCACACAGCTGTCACCAGTGTCCCAAGTCCACCTAAAGCTCCAGACTGGCACCTGAACACGCATGCTTGTGCACCACTATGTAGGCAGGGCTGTGCCGCCCCCCGTGGGCCCGTGAGGCTAGTCCTATATGCAGGTGCAGGCCTGCATGTGCACCCCCACCCCCCGGGCCACAGGCATGGGACCCACCTTCTCTGGGACGGCTGGCCGATGGGCACAATCTTGTCTTCATAGAACCGCTTCATTGCAAACCTATCCAGAGCCTGGTCTGCACTGCAGGGAAAGACAAATGGTCAGAGAAGCCAACCCCCACATCCGAGAGCCCCTAACCCCCGCACCCCTGCTGCCCCAGACTCGCTGCAGAGACCCAGAATCCTGGCGTCCCTCCACCTGTGATTACAGGACCCAGCTCGGGGGTCTTGGAGCCACACAGCCAGGGTCCATCTCCAGCCTATCACTTACTACCCCTGTGTCGTGGCCAGCTACCTAAAGCTTCTAAACTGCTTTCCCTTTCTTCTCATATGAGAATAACAATCACACCTTCCCTGAAGGTCATCATGGTGACCAGGTCACCCAGAAAGAGCGTGGCACAGTGCACACATAGCAGAGGCAACGGAATGCCCACCACGAAGCAAAAGTCGGGCTAGGTAGGTGTCTCAGTCATAAAACTACTGTTGCACAGACATTACTCTCTGCAGAGGGCCCAGAGAGGGCATTTTACAATGAAGAAATTGCGCGGAGCTCATCTCGGCTTCCAGCAACGCTCAAAACCCCAAAGCTCTCAAGACCCACAGAGCCCGGGCCCTGCCCCTCCCTGGACTCATCTCCTGCTCCTCACTACCCTCTCAGGGCTCCCACACACCGGACCTTCACACTCCTTTGTCCTTTGACCCTCCCTATCTGGAGACCCCCACCTCACTCTGCATGGCTCAGTTCTTCAACCACCCACCCCACCCCACTTAACTCCGGCCTCTGCTCCATTACCAGCTCCATGAGGGGTCTCCTCCGACTCCGATCACCCCCCACCCACCCCTGGCTCTAGTCTCCATTTGCGGACAAGCTTGCTTATTAACCCCCCATGAGGCCAGTGGCCTGGCTGTGCCCACCGCCGCTTTCCCAGCTCCCAGAGCAGAGCCTGCCAGCGCGGCTGTTCAGAGGCACTGTGGGATGAGCAGGTGAGGGGAGGATGCTGCCTCTCTGTGAAATGAATCAGGATGGGCTTCCCCCGCTGGCTATATCCTAGCCCTGCTCCAAAACACCTAAATGGGCAGAGGACCTGCCCGGCTGGCCACCGGCTGGAGGTGGAGGTAATTCTGCTGGGCCCAGATCTAACCCAGCATTTCTTTCTGAATTTCTCCCTACCTACCCAGGTAAATAGCAGTTTGGCAGGAAGTCAGCCCAAGCAGCTGGCTGGGTGGGGTGTCCAAAATGAGCCAGTCTCCCAAGGGTGTCCCCCCACTACTGAAAAGAGGGCTGGACTCTTCTCTCCTGCCCTCTGTCCACAGGCTCCTGTCCGTGGACAGACAGAGACCTTCTTGCCTCATCTTCAGCACCTCTGCCCTTTCCTCCCGCCCCGAGGAAGGCGAGCCCACCGGCGGTGGTGGTGACGGAAGGGGTGTTCGGCATGAGACTTTCAGGGGCCCTCTTACCTGGCAGAAATGTTGCTGTAGTGCATGTAAGCCGCAATGACAACACCTATCCGGCCTCGGTTTCCCTGAAAGAGTCCCAAAACGCAAAGCCTTTACTCCCAAGGTGGGTCTGCTGGCCCAGAGTCCAGCCAGCAGCCGTGGAGAAAAGATGGGTGGGACTGGAGGGAGGATGGAGTTTTTGTTTTGTTTTGTTTTAAAGATTTATTTATTTATGCATACAGAAATGGGGTAGGAGGCGCAGGGGCAGTGAGAGGCTTCACCAGAGGCAGAGTGGGGAGCAGAACAGGCTGATCGAGGAAGTACGCTGCTGAGGGGAGCAGCGGGTGGGCCAGAGTGGTCTGCTGCGCCATGTGGGTCACCTCCGGGGCCGGCCATGGCACGCGCGCTGAAGCGGCTGAGGCCAGCTTGCAGCATTGCGTCCCAACCCTGTGCGCCATCAGGGAGGGCCCCAGAGCACGGAGTTTTATGGGAGCTGAGAAGAAAACAGGGATATGCAGAGGAGGGCGAAACACAGCTGGTCACCTATCACACTCGAGGGACCCAAGTGTGGTATCCCTCACTTCCCTCACTTCTGGGCACCCCCAGAACAGCATGATTACCCCCTAGAAAGGAGACTACACAGACGTGCACATCCACACAATACAATGATACAGGCAGGTAGGAATCCTCCTCCAAGATGTGTCCACACACCTACTTGAGCGCGCACGCACTGCAGCCTCGCTCTGACCACACACGAACGTGAGCACACACGCACTTCAGCCCTACCCTGACCACGCCCCTACGCGAGCGCTCACGCACTGCAGCCCCACTCTGACCTTATTGTGCAGAACAACGACGTTGTGGGCGTCTGCGTTGAGCCAAGTGTCCATGGCCTTGCAGACACTGCAGATCTTCTCTAGAGCTGGGGTGTGGAGGTCAGGCCAGCCAAATTCCAGTACCTGTGGCCAAGTCATGAGTGAAAGGTGGGGGAATCCAGGTGACAGGGCAGCACATATCCCCCATGCCAATGCCCAGCTGCAGATACCGGCAGCTGGCCTCACGCGGGCCACTCCTCAGCCCAACTGGAAGGGAGGTGCAATTGCAGAGGACTCAGCCCTGGACAGGACACCTCAGCTCTGACACTAGGTCACTAGGGGGCCTTGGGCAAACCAGCCTCCTCTCCCAGCCTCAGCTTCCTCGTGTGTGTGTGTGTGTGTGTGTGTGCAAGACACAGGCGTGGTGTCAACACCCCACAGTCCCTTCCCCATGACTCAAAGTGCTGCCACCCAGGAGCCACCCCGCCCCCCAGCCTTCCTTCCACAGACAGCCGAGGCCTGCCTCAGGGTGAGGGAGGGAAGAGAGAAAGGCTCCCTGCCTCCTGGGACTGTGATCCAGGTCGGCCACTTCTCAAGCTGACCAAGAGGAGCCTAAGGAAAACAGAGCGGACGCAACAGCATCTCTGGGCTCCTCAAAACTTTTCTAAACTCACAGAACCTTAAAGTACAAGAGAGTTTCTTGGAAGGGCCCAGAGCGCACGTATAATCCAGCCCATCCACTTTCTGAGGCACAAGCTGCGAAGTGCCCTGTGCCCAGGGTCACAGAGCAGCAGGGCCAGCGTGCAGGAGTGGACGCCAGGCAGACCCTGCACAGCTACCAGCAAGAGGCCAAGGTGGCAGGAACCGCCACAAGGCCGAGCAGCACTTCCCAGCAGAATCTTCCCACTAACACTACGAAACTCTCACAGTGCCAGCCTCACCCCCAGGGCCTGCGTGCATCCCAGGGGGATCAAACTGTGCTTTCTGGAATCTGTATCACAAATTACAACAAACGCAGAGCCCCCTTGTCCAGGGTTTCAACTTTATAGGTTTCAGCTACCGGCCCTCCACTGAGGTCTGAAAACAGCATGGGCCTGAGGTATTTTGAAAGCGCGGGTGAGACCACACTCACATAACTTTTATCACAGTGTACTGTTATAATTGGCCTGTTTTCTTACAGTGATTATGTTAGCAGCTTATATAGAAAAACCATTGGAACTATCACAGTTTCAGGTATCCACTGAGGATCTTGAAAATACCCCCAAGGAAGACAGGGAACTTCTGCAATATTGTCCACTTTCCAAATGGGAGATGCACACAGCTTTGAATCGGTTTTTCTAACTGTCGCAGCTCTTTCTCCCAAGATTCATGTGGGAACTGGAGTCATGGGAACCTGTCTCTCCTCTTCCAGGCTCACCTTGGCATGGAGCTTCGTGATGTCAGGTCTCCGCTCAGAGAGGTTGAAAAGCTGGTAGGAAAAGGAAGAAATTGTGAGCAAACGTCCTCCACCCTCCCACTTCCCTTCACCACCACCCTCCTTACGTTCTTCCTCTCTCTCTCAAATACTGCAAGTTCTCCCTATACTTGAATACACAGGTACGCATCAGATACTGGCCAATAGGAATTCAGGTTCTTAGGATAGAGAGAGAGAGAGAGGACTCTCCCTGGTGGCGCAACAGGTCAAACTGCAGCCCTATGAAACTAACCGCAGTTGCCGCAACGTGATTTCGACCCCCAGCCAGGGAGGTGACCCACATGGCACAGCAGACCTTTCCTAATCTGCCCACTGCTCCCCTCAGCAGTGTACTTCATCAACCTGTTTGTTCTGCTCCCCACTCTGTCTCGGGTGAATCCTGTCACCCCCATATCTCTGGCCTGTACCCAGTTCTGTATGCATAAATAAATGTTAAAAAAAAAAAAAAAAAGAGGGAGAGAGGGACAGAAAGCAGCATGTAGACACTTGGCCACACTCAGGACTTTGGGGACCACAGATGAGAAGGGAAGAAACCCCATGGTCCCACGAGCAACCCAGGCCAGGGTCCCCTCACAGCCCATCACTGACAAGTGCCAATTACCTCTGGCTTCTGCTTTACACGTTGACCTTAGAACTTCACCCCATGAAGATGAAGCTGCTCGGTGGGGAGACAGCCTCTGTCAGCAGGTACAAACCACCTTGGGGACCCTCTCAGGCCCTACACATCCCTCTCCCAGGATGCCCTAACACCTAACCATATTCCAAGGGGGACCCCATATCTCTGGCTCCTCACTGACTTGGCACCTGAAAGCACTATGCTTTTTCCCAAGGAGAACAAGGCCTCACAGTCAGGATGGAGATGGGGCGCAGGTGGGGGGTTGGAGGCACTGCATGAAGACCTGGACTCCTAGACTAGGGGAGGCCCTTTGATAGCTTCTAGTCCACTCTAGAACCCCAAAAAAGAACACACTATTATGCCAATGCTACCACTCTCTGGCCACCATAAGACCTGTGCATGCATCAGCTTAATTCTCGCAACAACCTTAAGAAGTAGGAATATTATTAGACCCATATGACTTTAGGCTGAACCATCAAGATCAGACCGCAAGAGCAGAGCCAGCACTCGAACCCAGGACTCTGATGTTTGACGACAGGCTCCTAACAACACCTGACCCCACTGATGTCAAGGCTCCACGGTGGGAGAGAGTGTGTGCAATAACCCACATATGCCCGGAACTTCAGAATGTGACCTTATTTGGAAACAGGGCCTCTGCTGATGTAAGTACCTAAGGCTCTCGAGATGAGATCACCCTGTATTCAGTGTGGGCCTTAAATCCAAAGACTGGAGTCCTTATAAGAAGAGAAGAGGACGTAAGAGACCCAGAAAAGAAGGTTCTGTGATGACAGAGGTAGAGACTGGAGCAACACAGCTCACGCCAAGGGTCGCCAAAGATGGCCAGGAGCCACCAGGAATTACCAGAAACCAGGAAGAGGCAGGATCCTCCCACCTAGGAGTCAGAGAGAGCACAGCCTCCCTGCATCATGATCTGGACTTCTAGCTTTGAGGATCATGACCAAAAAATTACTAATTTATTAATAAATTATTTTAAGTCACACTGTCCATGGAGTCTGTTGCAGCAGACCTATATGAAATGAAGCTTTCTATACCCCATCTCTGCACCAACATGTGAAAAGCCCCTCAAAGAGAGAGTCAAGTCTGAGGGCCCAGCTCACTGTAAAGTGGACCCAAGCCCTCCTCAGGGGCAGGACAGGATTGCTTAGGCCAAAAACTAGAGGAGACCATTGCTGGCCACCTCATCCCTACCTGCAAGGTGAGTCTCCTGAAAACAAGGTGCTCCAGGTACAAGCCCCGTGCCAGTAACACAGGTGCCTCCCAACAGAGGCTGCCACGGCTCTACCCTAAGACTTCCCAGAGACGCCCGCGGCATGCCAGCTTTGCCACTGCCTAGCCTGTGACCACATCCTACCGCCCTGTGCGCCAGCACCTGATTCCTAGGATTGTCGCGAAGGTTAAATCCAAGCAGGCAGCGAGAGCAGGGCCTGGCTCTCCGCAAGCACACAGTGGCAGGCACTTCTGTTCCCTTCTCCAGGTCCACACATGCACATACGTGCCACACATGCAGAAGCACACACATGCATGCAGCTTGCATTCCAGCTGCAGACACGTTCCTGCAGTAGAGACAGGCTAGAAGGGATGAAGACTCAGGCCTGAGAGATGCCCAAGGCCAAGAGCAGGTATAGGAAGAGGAGGCGCTGGCCCAGGGGCAGGTGGGCAGAGACACTGACAGTGAGGAGGAGGCGAGCAGACAGAACACTGGGCAACGCGAGGTCCTGTCCTTACCAGGTAGTTGCCTCCATGTTTTGATTTGAGCATCTGCGCCACTTCGCGGAGGTTGATCCGGAAGTTTTCCTCCTTGGCTGTGCTGGGGAAGGAGACGGCGATGATCCTCTCTGTGACATATACCAGGTCCAGCTCACAGCTGTCCTCCATGGTCCGGCTCACACTCATGTTTCTGGGGAGACAGGAGGGAGACGGAGGCTCCAGATCAGAATGCAGCCCCCAAGCCAAAGTCCAGGTACCAGCCCCCCCCCCCACTGACACTCACTATGTGACCCCCACGTCCAGCCCAGGGGGTTCAGCTGCTCCGTGACTCAGAGGCGAGGCAGAGGCCTCCTGACAAAGCCAGTGCAGGCCACAAGGAGAGAACAAAGAGGGGCAGCGCCAGCCAGGACCGCAGAGCCAGCGATGATACCAGTTCTAGGCACCTGTGAATCCCATTGGCACTGTGTCCACCCTCAACCCCAGAGGTCACAGCCAGGGCCAGAGCCGAGCGTTCGGCTCTGCCTCCCAACACGCTGCAGCCGCCAGCCGGCAAAAGTCACCCCAGGGAGAGCTGATTGCTCCGGAAGAGCAAAGAGAGCCACATCTGGGTGCTCTCCAGCACCCCCAGCAGCCTTTGCTGTCGGCCAGGCTGCAAGGCTGCAGAGTGGGTGGGGAGGCTTCTCAGGGGAAGGGGCAGCTCAGGTGACACAATCACCTGGGCTCAAGGTAAACCAGACCAGGGCAGCGCACATTCCAGCCCTCCCAGGCAGGCCTTCTCCTGCCCTTTGTTCCCAGGCTCTCTCCCCACCTCTGGCAGCTCCCACCACAGGCCAGAACTGCTTCTTGGCTGTAGCCTCCCAGACCTCTGAGGGCCCAGGAAGCAGAGGGCGCTGAGCCCTCAGACATCCCAGCATCACCCACATGCCTCTGCTCCTCTGAGCCCCCTGGGTGTGAAGCCCCCTGGGAGGCACTGGCATGTTAGCCCAGCTTCTCACCCAGGGGAGAGTCCGCCAAGCTCACTGGAGAGCTGACGGGAAGGAGACCTGCAAAGCCCCCCTGGGAGCTCTCCCCACCCCATGCCTTCGGAATCCGTGGCCACTGTCCTGGAGTCTCACCCCACGGGGCACTTCCATGCCAAGGGCCACCGAACAGCCCCCACATGCCAAGAAGCAGGGCAGAAGCCAGATCCCCACCAGGGCTAACTCTGAGCCTAATTCAAATGGAGCCGAGAGGCGGGGAAGGTGAAGCACAGCATCTCCGTGGTGGCAAGGATGGGTCGCTCAGGGGAGCGTGGGCAAGCTGCCCAGAGTGAACTTGACCCCCCAGCCTCAGCCATTCCAGGTCTGGATAAGCTTCTCCCTGCGGTCTCTGGCGTGGGGGGGAATTTCAACCTCAGGGTACTGAAAGCCCCAGGGCAATTTTGTAGGTGGTGACCAGGTGTGGACAACACATACTTCTACCCCAACAAAATGGATGGGAGGGTAGAAAGCCCCCAGCTTAACTGGGAGTATCCCCACCTCCCCAACGGCCAAACTTCCCCTTTCTCCTAGCTCCTGGGAAGAGACCAAAATGTCAGAAAAACTTGCAAATCAAGCTCCCTCTTGCCAGCCTCTCCCTCAGTGCAGGGAAGGGGAGCGAGGGGGAACATGGTGGTGACCGGCATGAGTCATGTGACCCTCCCTTGGCACTTTCTGGCTCCAGTCCCCAGTCTGGTTCCCAGGGAGGATGCAGAAGCAGAACAGCGCCACCACCTGGAAGACCTTAACACTGCACTCTGCACCCACCCACCCCAGGTGGTTCCCAGCTGTGGAGGAAGCTGGGGGTCCACTCTGTGGCAGTTGACAGCTGGACACAACTATCCTCACCAGGCCCTGTATGGCTGGGGCTCGTCTCCCCAAGACCAGATTCTCACTCATCTTCGGAAGTTTGGACATGAAAGCAAAGCAGAGGGGGAAGGACCCAAGCCAGAGAATGAAAAGAAAGACTCCAGATCTGCAAGACAGGGCCCCCCCCCCCCCCCCCGTGAGTCCCCCTCCCCCAGGCACTATTCCCAGCCAGAGAGAGAACTCCCCTCTGAAAAGCGACCCTCCACAGCCTCTCCCTGCTTTGGAGAGGAGTCCAGCACGGGCCTCCACGCTGGCCCGGCCTGAAAGCAACACACGCTGCCTTTTGGTAGCTGTGCGACCTTTACCCCTTCACCCCAGCTCTCCGAGACTCGGTGTCTTCATCTGCCAAGTTGCAATAAAATACTTACCTTGCAGCGGCATCCTGGCAAGGACTAGCGAGTTCATGTAAGTAAATGAACTCCAGACCTGGCTTCAAGCTAGAACTCAAAACACGACTGTTTTCAAGTGGCAGCTACCTGCATCCTCTCACGGCAGCTTTCCAGTCTGCCCAGGCTCCCGAAGGGACCCCACGGCCAGGACCTCCCTCCGGCCCCCCAAGAGCCAGGCTTACCTGATGGGCTGGAGCTGGACACTCGGGGTGACACTAGTGGAGCCCTGGAAGGAGAAGAGAAGCAGTGTTACGGAGGACACGGCGGAGAGCTGGCAGGCACCGGTCAGGCCGTGGGCAAACATAGATTCTTTTTTTCCTTTCTCTGCCAACATTCCAGCAGATACCCTAATACCCCCGCACCACAGTCACTCTAAGCCTAAAGCAATCAATGCCAGTCCCACGTGTGTGCCTCGTGAGAGCCAGCCCAGAGGGACGCTCCTTCCTCCCTCCCTCGGATGCTCACAAAGGCATCACCTCTGGGCGGGAGCGCCTGCTCGGGGATGCCCTCACGGACAGTCGCCAGCTGATGAAAGCCATTCCATCTTGATTGACAGGTGCAATGCAACAGTAACCCCAAGTGGCGACAATAGGCCGCAAGGAAGGACAAGGGCAACAGCACCCTTCTGTCCAGCTCCGGCCTTTCTCCCCCAACTACTACGGTTGCGTGCAGCCCTCCTCGAAAGCGGCAACAACCAGGCCTTTGATCAGAAATTCTGACATGAAGGTGACAGGCACGCAGGAAAGCAACCAAGACGAGTGGCAGGAAGCAAATCGTGCCCCCAAGAAGCCACCTGTGGACGGACTCTGTTAATTCCCCTTTGCCCCACTTCCATTTCTAGGGCTTCCAACATGGACAAAATTAGACCTTTGGCACCCAAAGTGGTGTCCCAAGAGCCCAAGATTCAGAGCCCCGAGCATCCTGTCAGCGGCTTCTTGTTCCTTGATGCGCTGAGATACAACTGCAATGTCACACGCACAAGGGGGCAACTCTCACAGGGTTGGAAGATTAAAAGAAATTATGCATGTAAGAGCCTTAGAGGTTCTTGCTATTATTGTGTCAACTACAATGAAAAGACTGGTTAGAGGCCCTCCCTGGTGGCGCAGCAGGTTAAAGCTCTGCACTAAGAAGCTAAAGCCACTTCCCCATGAGTTCGATTCCCGCCTGCCCGGAGGTGGCAGACCTCTCGTGGCAGACCTCTCCTGACCCGCCCGCTGCTCCCCTCAGCAGTGTACTTCGTCGATCTGCCTGTTCTGCTCCCCACTCTGTCTCTGGTGAAGCCTCTCACCCTCTGCATCTCTGGCCTGTACCCCAGTTCTGTATGCACAAATAATTTTTTTTTAAGTTTTTTAAAAAAGACTGGTTAGAATCACAACAGTCCCTACTGTAGAAAATCAAAGCCCGGCACCTCTCATCCATCACCCATCACTTGAGCCACCTCACACGATTCAGAGCCACGTGCCAACTTTTAGATTCCCTGGCCAGCCGAGGTCTCAGCCCAGGGCACCTTCCAAGCATCCCTGTGTCTCCCAGAAACTGGCTGCTCCCAATCACCCAGCGGCAACTACCTCTTACAGGGGCAGGACCACAATCTACCAAGAAGAGAAACTGAGTCACAGAGGGAGTTACCCCCCAAGACCTTGACAACCAGCAAGACTCACCCTCAAGCTTTAGGCTTGACCGCTGGGGCCTCAAGAAGAGGAGTCCCCTTTAGCCCGGCGAGAAGGACTCTCCATCCAGTCGCCCCTGAGAAAACTGCGTCCCCTCTCCTGGGCTGTCACCCAGCTCTGAGCTCAGCGTCAGCGGCAGAGGGAAGCAGTCAAGCAGGGCTGGCTGTCGGGAGGAAAGTTCTCTGCCTCCACAGCTCCCCTGGCCCTGAGGTCTTGGGTTTGCATGAGTCAGGCATGGGGCGGGGTGGGGTTAGGGGTGGGGACAAGGAGAGATTGTGTTTGGTTTTCAAGCCCCAAAGCAAGCCGATCCAAAACTCCCCACCCAGAGGAACACAGAAACCAAGCACTTCATCCATCTCCGTTTTGAGGTCCTTGATGAGCAGTCGCTGAACCTCCCCAGGCCCGAGGCCCGGCTCCAGCCCCGGGGCCACCCTGCTATAAATAGCCCCTTGGGGTTCATCTGTTGCTCGTCTACAGCCACATCTGGAGGAGGCTACTGTCGCTGCTCCCAGCAACTGGAAGCCACGCCGAAGCCAAGGCTTGAGGTGTGGCCAGGACGCTGGGTCCGGGCCCAAGGAGCCTAAGGAGACATTGGGATACTGAGAAAGGAACTGGGGGGCAAGGGGAGTCAGGAGCCTCCTCGGACAGCAGGGAGAGGGATGAGCAGGGCAGGAGAGCTGGCTCCCATTTCTCCCACCCCCCACCCACCCATCGTTACAACACTCCACATTCTTCAGCTCCCCACCCCAAAAGGGCCAGGGAAGATAAATAAAAACTTGGCCCCAACAGTCTGGCCAGTCCACCTCCAGAGGTGATATGACAAAGTCCAAGCTCGTCCCGCTCCACTGGGCCGGCCGGGGGTAGGGAGGCGGGAGGAAGTCGGCCTGGACAGTGACCCCACACCGAGGACGTGGATGGACAGCTGAACGGTCATCCCCTGATGAATCACTCGGGCGCTCTCTACTGACCGGGCTTCCTGTTTTCTGGAAAGCTTGGGGGCATGTGACACCCACTGGTGAGGGAAGACATGCACGGGCCACACGTCGGGTGTGGGGACAGTCATAGGGAGAAGGCAGAGAGGAGGCGAGTGAGCAACACTACCTAGGGCTTCAGAAAGCACGCGTCACCTCACGCAGGGGCTGGTACAGCAACCCCAGCAGCTGGCCCCAGCACAATGCCACTTCCAGGAGGGCGGGGAGCAGGCTGCGAGGTGGGGTCCCCTGTGCTTCCCGCTGTACTCAGTGGGCACACCTGCTCTGAGGCCGGGCGCCAGGGGCCAGAGGAAGCGGCGGCACTGGCCTCAGAGCGCTCTTATGCTGGGAAGACACGCTGGTGTGAGAGCAGCCCTCCGGCTCCCCCAGCCATCCGTAAAAGGGGTGCTGGAGGGACCTGGTGCACACAGAGCCCCCAGGGAGAACGACCAGAGGGCTTTACAAAGAGCACTACAAAGAATTTATTTTAAAGAGAAAAATAAGACTTGCTGGTCTGTGGTGCCATTCTTGTCCTTGCTGGGTTCTCAAAGTCTTTTAGTCACATGACTGTGAACTTCCTCCTAGATCCTCCCAAGACACAGAGCAATCACAAAACTTTTGATCCAACTCCCTAGGCACTAAGAACTCCTCCCTATCGTCATCACAAAACACAGTCTCTCCTTTGCTGGAAGGGCATTTGAGAGGAAATTCCACAGCCTTCCCAAAACAGCGTCTTTCTTCTCTTACTGTCGGGAAGTTCCGCCTGGTATCTATCCCTCACCCTTCCTGCTGCAGAACAGCCAACTCTCTTTGCACTGTCCTCACTGCAAGCGGGAGCTGCCATTATTCACCATCTTCTACCTGCCATGCAGCGAAGAACTCGAACCCCAGGACTTGGGTGGGGTTGGCTTGGAGCAAAGACTATGTGGGAAGAATTCTGCCCTCCTTTGAGGTCCACAAACCAAACATAACAGCCCTGGACCAAAAAGAAAAGCCATTTCCTGAGCCCAAATCCCCAGGGGATGCAGTTGGGGGGAGGGACTATCAATGAACCCCAGGGGCCATGTCAGGCAGCCCGAGATAGGTGACCAATCCACATCAGGCGCCCAGCCCCATTCCTCTGTCTCCTGTGGGGGCTGTGGCCACCTCCAGTGCCCCCACCAGCCCCCTCCAGCCACACCCCTTCCTCTCCCCTTCCTGCCCACCAGGCTGGATTTTTCCAAAACAAAGTGCGACACAGCACACCGTCCACCAGCCCACTACACTCTGGCCTGTCAGAGGAAAATAGCCATTCCTGGCCTGCGCGTCCTGGGCCAGAGGCCAGAGGCAGGAAAACAGCTCAACAAACAGGTCCATTATCACAGCAGTGGGACCAAAGCTGCAAGTGAAAATGCGTACAGATGTAGGGAAGCCCGAAGACCGGCAGGGAACCCATCTTGGGTCCACTCAGCCTGTGACAGGGCCCGGGAACCTTGAAGAACAGGCCTCTCTCCTTTGCCATCATTCCAGAATTTGCTCTCCTGTTTTCATGCATTCCTTCAACGAGACTAACTTGACCCTAACTCGGCTCATCCCCTTTCCCCTGGGCAGACACCACCGTCACCACCCCTAATGCCCAGATGGACTAAACTTTCTTTCTCCAACCGACAGTCACACCTTTCTTCCCCAGGCCCAAGGTTGTACACGCCTATGGGCCAAAAAGTTCTTCCTGGTGTCTGACTTCACTCTCTCTTGCTGCAGTTTTACTTTGTAGGATCTCTTGGACTCAGGTGGGGTTGGGGAAAACAGGACTTGGCTTATCAGCATGCCCACATCGTTGGTAAAAGGCTCAGTTCACACACCAACTCCCTGACCCTGGGCCAAGGGTGGGCGTCCCGTGCGATACCAGATCCAAGCAGCAGTCCAGGTAGGGACGGGAAAGCTGCTTCGGGAGACACTGCGTCACTCCAAGCCTCTACTTCCTCATCTGTAAAATGGAGCCATAGCAATCACCAGTCCCTGCCCTCTATCAAAGTAACAGTAATAAAAATAAATATAAATCAAGAGTTCCAATATATAACACACAGTACTAACAACACTAACACCTAGGAAGCACACATTACATGCTTTGTGTGCACTAAGCCAGTGCATCCTCGACAGTGGGTACACACAAAAAATGCATTTCTCCCTGCACCCCAACCCCAGAAACACCACAAACTCAGCCAAGGATCCCTGCCCAACACACATCCTCCCTGACCCCAGACCCGTGCCTACCTCCACTACAGCCTTCCCCACTAACTTGAGAGGCATATTCCTGCTCCTGACGAGGCCTGCGTGGCAAGCCCCCCTGCCTGTCCCAGGCAGCACGGCCGTGGCCGTAGGATCCCACAGAAGTGTGGCTCCTGTGGGCACTGGCTCCTGCTCCCGCCGCACCTCTCTCCAGCCCCCGCCCCCACCCTACTGTGGGTCAGGCAGCTGTCAGATGATAGGGCCTTTTGCCATTAACAGCTCCCCCCACCGCCATGCCAACCGCCAAAACCACTCCCTGTTCCTCTGCAGATCAGGGCGGGTGAGGATGGGGAGGCCAGCAGAGGGGCAAGTTATCAGAGAAGGGCAGGGAAGAAAGGAAAAGGCCCGACTCTGTGAGGCATCTGTCCCTGCCATGTCAGCACAAGCACTGCTCAAGCAGGGTGCCAGGACAGCGCTCTGCCCACCTCTGGGCTCTTCCATTTAAGGAACCTGCCCATCGCCCCAAGCCACCGCCAAAATGTCAAGGCAGGAGGAGCCCAACAGGCCTACCTTCCTGCCTCGCCCCCACCGCCGAAACCATTAGCCTTTAGCACCCCAAGGACTCTGCCATTTTCAAAGACTGTCTCTGAGGACGCAGCGCCCACAGTTCCTTCCAGGTTGATGAGCTAGAGCCCAAGAGTCCCTCTCCAACTGGGCGCTTAGGCCCTAAGGCTGCCCATTTGCGAGGCGGCTCACCACCAAGCCAGGCCTCCGAGCAAGCCCCGCCCTCCTCCCCACCCTGGGGCATTGAGTGATGGGAGAGTGAGCCCTGGATGCAGCTTCACTGCAAGCCAAAACCAAGACAGAGGCCCCGTGAGCGTGAGCGAGTACTGGGGCCTGTTCACCCTGCTGGTGGCTGCCCCCCAGACAGGCCTGAGACATGGCCACCCTCCGCCGGGCACCAGGGGCCTGGCCGCACCTCCTCCCACCCATCCCCATACGTACGTCTTCCTCAAGGCTTTTCCGCGTGTTTCCACCCCGTAAGGCTCCTTCTCCCTGGAGACAGAGAAAAGGCAGTCAGAGAAGGAGTCACAGAAACTAATCAGAAGGCAGCAGGTCTTTTACCTCATGGGTTTGTGTGGGGTGGGGGTGAGGGTGGGAGCAAAGGATTGGCAAAGGGCCTGGGTGAGGACTTGCTTGTTTGAGGAGTATTTTTTTCATCCACTAAAGGCCTTGGGAACTAAACAAACTCTCGTTTGTCTCATACTCCTCGTACGGGAGACATCAGTAGGCCCTTTTTGCAGGTAAGAAAACTGAGGTACAGAGAGGGCTATGACTTCCTGTTACACAATTAGAAGCTTGGAGGACTTAGGACTTGACCCTAAGTCCTCGCGAGGAGACACTTCTCCTCTGCTAACCTTGGTTACCCCACTCCGGACTCCCCCACTTTCTTCCCTCCCTCCTCCAGGCAGCTGTGAGGAAGCCATCTATCTCTCTGCTAAGCAGGAATGATCAGTTGAGAAGGATCTGCCTGGCTTTCTCACATTCTACATATTTAATAAAGAAGCCCACACTAACCACAGCCCCACTCTGCCTCTCCCTCTCCCCAGCCTCGTTCCCCAGCAATCCAGTTCCAAACTCAGCCGTGGCCAGATCCCTGCCTCCCACATCACCCATATTCCCATGTCTCCAGCTCCCCCAAACCTATCCCCAAAGGAGGCTCCCAGACACATCATCCTGCTCATCTCCCTCCCTTACCCCCATTCCGCCGCAGGTTTTGGGTCTCCCCCAGCCCCCCACCGCCTTCTGCCACTCACCGTGTCCACTACATTCTTTGTTGCACTCTCGGTGTTGATGGGCTGTGGACAAAGGGAGAGAACAGCGTGAGGCCTCCAGGCCAACATCCCCTTGGCTCTCTCCGGACGGCTGGCGGCCTGCTCGGCAGATGGCCCGCAAGGCCAAGACAAGGACACCGACCCAAGGCCTTTGCAGGTGCTGGGCCTGTGGTCCTGACGCCACTCAGCTAGGCCAAGCTCACCAAGTCCTCTGACTCAGCCAGCCACTGTCCCTCACGGAGGAACAAGGGGTAAGAACAGCTCCTCTTATGCCCGTGCCCAGGCACTGGCCCTGCCAATCTTGTCCACTCCCGGCCAGCACGATGCAGGCTGGCTCCACTACCACCGTGGAGGCCCCCTTGACAGAGAGAAGTTAAGTGGGAACCACAGGCCCGGCCCACGGCAGGGTTCTGCACGCTGTATTCTGTGTGTGAAGTGGCAGAGAGGAGGGGCCTGCCAGCCCTGCCCTGCCCCCCGGAACCTCCCCACGTCCATGCCCCAGATGACCGCCCCATCCTGGCCTGTCCCTCCAGACTCCTTGCTGACTGCCCCACCCAGGCCTTCACTGGAGGAATGGCCTCCCCTCTTTTCCTACAAGCGCCCCCTCCTCCATGGAGAAGATGAGGTCCGTGGAGACCTTGGGATGGGCGGAAGACCCAGCTGCCTCCTTTCGGGGCTCCCCAGTCTCCTGAGGGGTGTGCAGGGAGCGGAGCTGCTGGAGGGAAGGGACTGCAGGGCCTCCTACTGGTCTACGCAGCAGAACCGAGATCTGAACCCCGATCTTTCAACACAGTCTGCTTAATCAGCCTCCCTAGAGCGGGTCAGTCAGGGAGGATAGAAAGGGGAAGAATCAGAGACCAGCGCTGCTCCAGCCTTGCTCCCAGCTTGAAGAGACACCCTCGCCGCCACCCCACACCCCAGTACAGCCTCCTCAGAGAGCCCGCCTGCGGGGGCTCTGGGGCTTGCGTGTGCCAGTCGTCTGAGGACACACGGGTGGCCGGCCCTGCCCCAGGGCTCTGATCCAGAGGCCCCAAGGGGCCACCAGGAGAGCGCCTGACAGGTACCCTGCTCGGGGGCACCTTGCAGAAGCAGCGGCCCCAGCTGTCGGCACTGGCAGCAAAACCAGGCTTAGGCTTTGCGCGACCCCAGGCTGCTGCCATGTGGCCTGCAGCGGACACTCTGTCCTTGTAGCTGCTCTACAGGGCAGCCTGGTGCTCTTTGGTGACAATCAAATGAGACGAAGCACAGAAAGCACTTAGAACAGGGCCTGGCACTTAGAAAGCGCTCCATAAATGTTAGCTGTTGTTAGTGTTTATCCTCCCAGGGCCCAGGCCTCTGACGGCCCACCCTACCCCATCCCTCGGGGTCTGGCACGATGCAGACTGAGGAGTTGAGTCAATATTAGAAACCACAGGCCTCAGCAGTGCAAGAGAAACTCTCCCCCTGCCAGCAATCATCTGCGCACCAGCCCCTCTGCCCCCGCCCTTCCCCCTTGCCAGCTGGAGGCAGGCCACAGCCTAAGCCTGCCAGCCGTCAGATGCCTTCAACTCACTGCTCAAAATGCTTTCTGAGAAGCTAAAAATTTCCAAAAGCCCCTCCCACCAGGAACACCCAGCACTTTCCTGTGGTGTTTGCAAACAGGGCCCAGCACGCCAGCCTTGCCCCCACCTCCTCCACCCCGTCCTCCTGGGAGTGAATTTATTTCCCCCATGGAGACACCAAAGGCAAGGAGCTGGCAGCCAGGGCAGGGTCTCCCTGGGGCTGCCGCTGCCCCGGACCACGCAGGGAAGGTGGGGTATAGGGCATGAGCTGCTAAAACAGCAGCTCACCCCCTCTTCGTGGCCAGCAGGGACACCAGGCTCAGCTGTCAGTCCACCTTCAGCATGAAGACATGACCCTCTGACCCCCTTCACTGGGTTATGTGTCTTCTTAGAAGTCATCGCCCTCTAACACTGTGTATTTTACTTATTTATCATGTGTGGCGTAGGTCTCCCTCATTAAAATCTAAGCGCTCATCACCCCGGAGCCTAGAACTGTGGCTGGCATGCTGGAAGCCTTCAGCAAATATCTACTGAATAAATTAAGAGGGGTCCCTGGCTATCTCCCCCGGCCCCATCCCCACCCATGTTCAGTCTTGGCAATGCAGCTGGCACTCCCGGGACTCTCTGGAACCAAGGCCCCTGACCTCCATCTTCGCTTAGGTTTTCGGCCAGGACTGCTCTACACCCACCACACACATACCCTCCTCACAATATCAGCCCTGACTTTAGGCATCATGACCCTCCCCACTTCACGGGTGAGGAAACTGAGGTGCAGGGCAATGGAACTCAACCACCCTCTCATGGTGAGGGCCCAGGCAGGACTGGGGTGGGTTGTCAAGTTCCTCACCAAGCTCCCATCACCCTCCACGACCCCACCCCAGCCAGCTCACAGGAAAGGGTCATGGGGTGCCTCCCTGTGGTTATTCACTTCCTTCCCTCTCAGCTCAGCTGCAGAAGTGAGGAGCAGGGAATCCACACAGGGACAGCACCTCCCACCCCAGCTCCCTCACCCTGCCATCCCAGGACAAGCCCTGAAAATGAGGCACCCCGGGCTTTCCGAACTGAGAGAAACCGACTCACAGCCCAGCCTGGAGACCTCTAGAACACTCCTGGCACTGGGTGGACCTGCTAAGCCACCAGCCTCCTCCGTGAATGCTCTGCTCTAGGAACTCGGATGCCGGCAGAGCAGGCGCTGGGGAGAGGCACTCAGGGCAGAAAGTGCAGCGAGGTGCTGGCTCCCCCGGGCTGTGGAAGGGCGCCCAGCAATCTGGAGGGCAGGGTGCAGCCTCTGAGCACAGGGAACCCTCACTGCCGCCCTTGCCACCCTCCTCCCACCTGGCACAGTGTGGAGCCAATAGCGCTGGTCACCCCCAGTGGCCCCCCTGGTGATATGTGGGGCACCTTTGTGCTCACTATACTCGCGAGCACCCCATGGGGCAAGCAGGACTCATGTCTGAGGAAACCGCAGGTCTGAGAAACCAGGGCTTTGCCACAGCTAGCAGGCAGCAGCGCAGGGATCTGTCTCTTGCCCCTTACATTCTCCTCAGGCGCCTCTTCTCTCCTCTCCCTGTCTTGGTCTCACCCCCTGCTCTTACTTTTTTTTTTTTTTAAGATTTATTTATTTATGCATGCAAGAACCAGGGTACAGGCCAGAAGTTCAGGGGTGGGGAGCAGAACAGGCCAACTGAAATACACTGAGAGGGGAGCAGCAGGCGGGTCAGGAGAGGCCTACTGTGCCATGTGGGTCACCTCCGGGGCGGGGGATTGAACTTGGGCTGCGGAAGCTGCACATTGCCTCATGGTGCTGCGCTTTAACCCACTGTGCCACCAGGGAGGGCCCGTCCTGCCTCTTACACTTACTCAAGCCTCCCTTCGGGAAAAGCTTTCCCGGACTCAAAGCCTGAAGCCCGAGGTCCCCAGCAGGAGAAGGCTTCTTCCACACACTTGCATGGGGAGGAGGAAATGGGCTCGGGAGGGCCTGAGGCCAGACACCAGAGAGAACTTCCTGAAAGTGAGGGTTGTGAACCACAGAGTGGAAAAGGGAAGCTGCACATCCTTTCCTCAACACTGCCCCCCCCCCAAAAAAAAACCACACACACATGATTTCTCTACACATGCATTTACCCTCCCCCAAATTGCACCCCAGGAGGGAGGGGGAGAGGGCCTGGAGCATCATGCAGTAAGACACATTAGTGGCCTGCAGGGAGGGTGGGCAGGAAAAAAATGTCTGTGGGTTGCTGTTTTGGAGGAAGGAAAAGGCAGAGGGCCACCGTGTGGGGGAGGTGCCCGAGTCTGGGTTGGGGTGGGGGGAGGGGGCTGGCGCAGAATGTCCACTCAGCCTCCAGAGGAACATTCCGTCCAGAAATTCCTCACACTCTCCCCCCTTCAGCCCCTCCAGCTCTCCCCACTCTCGCCCCCTGGGAGGCCTGGAATCTGGGCCTTTATTTTCCCAGCCCTAGAGACCCTGTGATGTCACAGCTACTGCCTCTGTGAACTGTGAGGTCACAGGCAGGGCCACCTATCGGGAGGGGAAGGGAGCTGGTGGGTAGGGCTGGTGGGCGCTGGGAGGTCCTCTGCCCTGGAACCAGAGAAAGTTATTCCAGGCTCACTTGTTCCAAAAATAGAACTGTAAGCCGGTGAAGGGAGGGGGCTGGGTAACAGGGAAGGACAGGGAACGGCCATTTGCAGGCACGTAGTGGGGCGTGGCAGTGGGAAGGCAGGTAGGTGTGTCACTGAACAGACCCCACTGGGGGCCGGAAGGCAGGTAGGTTGTGTGTCACTGTACAGGCCCTGGGGGGCGGCATTAACACCACCAGCAAAAACAGCTGCGGCAGAACCAGCAGTTGAGCCCGTTTTGGCAAATGAGCAAACTGCGCTTCTTGGGAGAAGAGGTGGCCAGTTCAATAAGAACTTGGGTCTGTAGCTCCAACTCTGTGTTCTCCCCTCCTCTGTATTACTTCCCTTCATGCCAGGACGGCGGAGCTAGGAGGGCCAGTGGCTTCCGGGAGGGCACCCTCAGGCAGGCGGGGCTGGCCCAGAGTGGACAGGAAGCCAACAGCCTGAGTCCCTGAGTGTTTGGCTTAATTGCTCCCCAGCAAGGGGAGGCCACCAGAGCATGCCATGCCAAGCCTGCCCTGCAGGGCTAGGCAAGCCCACTCCTGTCCCCAGGACAATTCACCTCAAGGGACCCAGCACCCAGGCCCACCCAAGGCTGGCTGCCGCAGACACCCTCCCCAGGCTCCTGAAGTCTCACCGGCTCCTGCCACAGTCCCCACCACACACCACAGGTGGCTCATCGTCCTTGGCGGGAGCCTGGGAGTCAGCTCTTCCCGCAGCCCGTCCTCCAGGCCCTCCGGCCACCCTTGCCCAAATCACCCCCTTGCCAGACTGAGCACCTATACCAGCCTCACCTGGTCCACCCTACCCTCTCCTCTCCTTTTGGCTGCCCCCTCCCACAGAGCCACCCCACCCCCGGCAGGGCTC